AGGTTTGTAGTCCATGCATGATGCTAAGGTGCATTTACCACCAAGACTCGTGACCATTTTTTTCCTACGTGATAAAGAGGTGTCAGGGTACCTAGAGTAAAAACAGGCTATATTCAGCTGAAAAGTGGAAGTTTATAGGATGTCTTTGAAAACGAGATTACGGTTATTTCCCCAACATTTCACTGACAGATTTACGTGGGTATGTTTTTATAATGAATGAACAGACCAATTTAATTAAACTTGTCACAAGATGAAGAAGATTTTTCATCCCAATGTGCTGGCTATCACTTTTTGTTCTTTAAAAGACAATACAACAGCTGCAGTGTTAATGAATTGTTAAAGTTTTCCAGAGAGGACTCTCCAAATTGTCACTGCTTGGTTTGAGGTCTTATTTGAGCTGTGAGAGCAACACTTGCCTAGCAACTAGCAGCAGCTGCCTTGATTAAGTACACCAACCTAAACTTTCTAAACTTAATTTAACATGTATTAACGTTAATTAAAACGCAGCAAGGCTGACTCAGCACCATGGACAGCTAACGAGGACACGAAGCTCTTAAGGTGCATCTGCACTTGCTCTGGAGTGACCTTTTAGGAAACCGGCGTAAAAACGTCGAGCAGTTAGTAAACACTCTTAACTTCTTGTATCGATTGATATCAGGAAACAGGGCTGAATTCAACTCAAATGATGTGATGTGAAAATGAAAATGATGCTCCGTGATATGGTCACGTAACGTAAATCTTTGTAAGAAAGCTATCACAGATTAACGTTACATAGCTTCAAAGCAAAGCTACGGTGAATATTATTGTGACAAGGCACAGGCTGCTCTATCCTATAACAATTATCGTCTTAGTATAACGTTAGTTGAAAGAATGCACTCAAGTAACCGAAGTTACTGTAACGCAAACAGCTGTCGTTTACTACATTAACGTTAGTCAATTAACTTACAGCAAGGAGCTAACGTTATTTAAGCTAAACAGGCTCGTTTATTACCTTACCCTGCCTTCCACACATCACTGGCATGCTGCTTGAACACACCGGCAAATCACTAAAATATTAGACACACATTCCGCTGCCTCCCCCTCACCTTTGTGCCTGGTTGGCTGTCTCACAGCGACGTTTTTCTCCTGAAGGCTAATGTTAATGTCAACAGCTGTTAGCTAGCTAGGAGACGCCAGCTTCCTTCGTCTCTTGTTTCTGACTAGAAAGTGGCCCTGCTCGGCTGTCAGGAGAGCCAACATGTAACACGGCAGCCTGTACGACGGTAACAGAAAACTAACCTCCTGCTATAGGAAATGTCAAACAAATTATACTGGGGAAAACATGGCTGAAGTTAGCGAATGAACAACCACAGCCAGATCCGGAAGAGCTGACGAGGGATGGTACGGCGTATCACCTGACGTGTGCACGTGCTCTGAAGTTTGAACATTAACCCTTAAAATCCCCTCAACACCTTGTTCCCAGCTAACATGTTCACATAACACAAAAAACTAAAAAGATATTGGCATAACTTTTTTGGTATTTTGCAGGTAACTTTAATTTTATTGGAGCTGTTTTTAATTCTTCTAAAAAAACATCCTTTAAAGACCTGCATAATTTAAACCCCTGTAAATGTTCTTTTGGAATTGGAAAGTAATGTACACTGAACAAAATTATAAAAGGAACACTTTTTTGCCTCCATTCATCATGAGCTGAACTCAAAGGGCCTATTTCTTATTATATTGTATTAATATTGTTCACAAATTCATCAAAATCTGTGTTAGTGAGCACTTCTTTGCCGAGATAATCCATCCACCTCACAGGTGTGGCATATCAAGATGCTGATCAGACAGCATGGGTATAGCACAGGTGTGCCTTAGGCTGGCCACAATAAAAGGCAACTTGAAAATGTGCAGTTCCATCACACAGCACAATGCCACAGATGTCACAAGTTTTCAGGGAGCGTGCAGTTGGCACGCTGACTGCAGGAATGTCCACCAGAGCTGTTGCCCGTGAATTGAATGTTCATAAGCCGTCTCCAAAGGCGTTCCAGAGAATTTGGAAGTACATCCAACCGGCCTCACAACCGCAGACCACATAACACCAGCCCAGGATCTCCACATCCAGCATCTTCACCTCCAAGATCATCTGAGTCCAGCCACCCGGACAGCTGCTGCAACAACCGTTTTGCATAACCAAAGAATTTCTGCACAAACTGTCAGGAACCGTCTCAGGGAAGCTCATCTGCATGCTCGCCGTCCTCATTGGGGTCTCGACCTGACTGCAACTTCGCACAGCCATTGAAGAGGAGTGGACCAACATTCCAAAGGCCACAATCAACAACATGATCAATATGCGAAGGAGATGTGTTGCACTGCGTGAGGCAAAGGGTGGTCACACCAGATACTGACTGGTCCACCCCCCCCCCCCACGCCCCGCCCCCGCCCCGCCCCCGCCCATACAGTGAAACTGCACATTTTCGAGTGGCCTTTTATTGTGACCAGCCTAAGGCACACCTGTGCAATCCCCGTGCTGTCTGATCAGCATCATGACATCTGTGAGGTGGATGGATTATGTCGGCAAAAGGAGAAGTGCTCACTAACACAGATTTTGACAGATTTGTGAACAAAATTTGAGAGAAATAGGCCTTTTGTGTACATAGAGAAAGTCTTAGATCTTTGAGTTCAGCTCATGATGAATGGGGGCAAAAACAAAAGTGTTGCGTTTATAATTTTGTTATAGCCTAGCTGAACTGTATTCTTGCGCTTTAAACACATTTTAAAATGTATGTTCAACTCTACGTTACACTAGCAATTAACTGGAATTAATAAATTGAAAAGGAAGCACTTGAACATTGTCTACATACTTACATAATTTATTCCAGGTACCTTTAGATAAATTTAGTATCTGTTCCTTTCCTGAAAATTATAGGAAACGATGTCACCATAAAAATTACCCCCCCACCAAAAAAACCTCACTATATAACAAAATGCAAAGGGATTTCAAATTCACCACATTATATTATTTAACTAACATGATTGAAAGGCAAAATAATAAAGAATTACATTAACTGTTACTTAGCCTACATTAAAACAGTAGCTTCCCCAACATTTGCACCTTTTGCTACAACTTAACTACATTACTACTGCTGCAACATCAGCTGCTTTTACTGCGACTATTACTTCTACTGTAGTTAATGCTACTGCTAACACTGCTCCTACTGTAACTATTTTGCTGTCAAGGCTACTGGCACTGCTATTACAAACTGTAGCCTACTGCTGTTACTGCTGCTGCTGATTCAGTATTAGAAGGTATGTATACATAATCGACGAGTATTGTGCCGTTGTACTGGCTGTGCCAGTGGGTGCTGTTCTGATCTTCCCACCTTCCTTTTATAGTACCTGGCCTTGTGGCAAAAGTATAGTCGATGGGGCAGTTGGAGCACAGGATGTAGTCTGGGTCTGTGAGAGAGCAAGCACACTGGATTGAAGAGAGGCACAGTGATGAGAACTGTTGAACAGGAGAGGGAAGGGGGTTGGAGGAGAAACAAATGTAGATAAGGGTGTTGCGCCAGCATCAAGTCAAAATTTACTTTTGTCTAATAATTTGATTTGTGACCAAATAATTGCAAAACTAATGATAAAATACACTGAGTCAACAATTAGTTATGTTTTTTTTAATTCAGCTGACACATTGAATGAGCTGATGGAGGGATCACACAAGACAGATGTCCAGCATTTCATATTTTTTTAAATGATAATTTTACAAAACAAGTAAAGAAACAATGATCAGTCTCAGCCAGCTAAGGCAATCATATAGAATGATGCTATAACAAACCTAAATACACAATAGAACACTGAATATTGAACACCAGGCCAGAATTGCAAATCAGTGGATGCTTACACTTTAATCCAATTCTAGTTGAGATAAAGATTAAATACACTTCTTCCCTGTTGTATAGCAGTGGCCCTTGGTTCTCCACAGCTGAGAATTTGGTATAAGCAAGAAAATTAAGTTTTTGGTGTTTTCCAGCTGCAGAGCTGCTGTTTTGGCTGAGCTGGTAGACTACACTCTCACCACAACCTCCCCGAGATCTCATTCCAGTGATTCCTCTACTCCCTGCACGATCACTCACTACTGACCGCCTCCGGGACAAACACCAAATCCCGATTCTGCTGAGAAGCTACAAGGCTTGCTTCTTTCCTCTGGACCCAAGCACCTCAGATTAAATGAAGCAGAAATTCAGGCCGACAGCAATTACTCCATGCTAAGTGGGTGGTAATAGGTACTCTTCTTTTTCACCAGGAAGCTTTGCAGGATACTGCAGGGCAATGCTCTTGCACTTATGCATGAACTTTACAGTACAGTGAAAGAAATTACAGTATTGTTTTGGAAGGAAATAGGTGGATCTGTAAACTCTGGCTGCTTAACTTCAGTCTTTAGTTTACACGAGAATAACAAAAAAAAAAGAGAGAATCTCTTAAACACAGTTTCTATTGTTAAAACAGTAAATAATCTAATGTAAACCTGCTGGACTGCTGTGTAGGAGAATGAACTCTAATGAAAATGTGGTAAACTCTCAAACACTGTCAGGACAAAATTAATTAAAGCAACAGCTAGGTTTTTATCACAGACCATGGAAATTGTATCTTGATAATCAGACTGTATTTATTTACCAGTTTGTGATAGCAGATTGTAGTTTGGAAGGCAAGGAATACTTCCCCAATATTTTTCCCAGTCTCAAATTAGATGTGTTGATTAGTCTTTTAATGCAATTCTAACAAATTGTTAAATTTAATTTGTCTTTCCCATGATTTGACGCCATTTGTGACTGGTTGTTGCTGCCTGTGGCTATTTCAAAAATATGCTGCTTAATGTATTGTTTTTTTAAAGCCTAATGATGATGAAAGATCTATGACTGAAACTTCTTTAACATTTTTTGATGACAGTGTGCAGGAGTTCACCATTTTAAAGGATAAGGCTGGCATTATTATATTGTGAGCAAAACCAACAAGCTTTAGCCCGACTCTTAACACTTTCCCGTTTCTATAACTGTCTGTGGCACTCATTCCCAATCCCATCACTTCCTTCTGAAAATGTAAATCTTTAAAAACAGCTCATAATACATAACTTTTTTTTTTTAAAGGCTCAGTAATTTCCCAAAACAGCTGGCCACTGTCGTTTTTAGCAAACATTCCTCAAACAGGAGTAAATAAAGCATTTGTTGTGGACTATTTTCAGATGCAGATTAATACGTTTAGAGTTTTTCCGGCAGCATTTCCGGTTTATGTAGGTCAAAATAAACTACACCATTTGTGTTCATGATAATGAGTTCACCTAGGTGGCTTTGAGATGGAGCTCTATGGCACAGAGGAATACAATATATCAGGCTTTGGCTACACAGACTAAACTTTTTCAGTGTTGGTTTTGGTCTTTCATTTCTAACATTTCTTTAAGTTTGAATGCGATACTCCAGAACTGATCAGCATACTGTGACAACAGCTGCTTCAGCGCCCATGTGTACATCATTAATGTATCATACCTGAGACGTAAGAAAAAACCCAACATAGATTATATGAAACTGCAAAAATAATAAACAATGTTTTGTTTGATCTTGCTGTTGGCAAAAGACAGCATCAAGTATGCATAAAACAGGATGACTGCCCCCCTCTATTGTTTTTGGGATTAGATAAATGCTGGTCTTACAAATAAAATGTGATCGGCACCATGAGAAAAGTGACACATCTGAGTTGACTTACAGTACAAAAGTAGTGGACTTACAGTGAGAGAGTTTACTGGCCTGGTCACACACAGCCAATGGGACAACATTAGCTGTGTCCCCATGCAGAACACATTGTTAATTGTTCAGTTAGGACAGTCCGACTTTTATATACCCAACGGCCAGGCTATGACAGAAGCCCACAATACAAAACAAAAATCAAACAGAGTTATAAAGGATAAAAAAACATATATTTTTAAATTATTCAATACAAGATAAACGTCTCTGTAAACAAAATTGACTTCTCCGTGAAAAAAGCCTGGGGACACTTCTGTCCTCATAAATTCATTAAAACGGTCACTCAGCTTGAGAGATCAAATCCCCCAAAACAAGAGGAAAGGGAAGTGACATCTTTAGAAATTGGGAGAGATGTTCAAGTTGTCCTCTTGACGTCCATGATTTGAAGAGAGGTTTGTATCCTGGGCCTGTGAGGCTTCTGGGACGGCACAGCTTTCTAGCATTTCCTAGCTGAAACACACGGGTCCGACAGTGAAGCCAAACTGGTGTGTGAAGTTTCCACCTCCCATCAGTGCTACGTCTCTCAGAGGAAGCAGCTGGAGGTCTTCAAACTCAAACACAGACTCCCGAGGTCCAGAAATGGTCTCCTCTCCAGGCTGACACAAGAAATAGAATACATTTTTTAGTTTTTACATTTAATTGCTATGACTCACCTTTTTTCATATGCAATGACTGAAACTGAAAATTATGTATTTCATTCCTCTTTTTTTCCTCTATTTTTTGGATGCTTTTTTCCTAATAATAAATAATTGTTATAAAATGAACCTGCTTCAACAAGATTTTACACAGCAGCAGCATGACAGGTACTTTCTCAAGCCTTTCAAGAACACAGCGAAAAAGAAGTTTACAAAACTTTATACACACCACACAATCTTTAAGAGCTCCGAGGTAACTTTGCTTCCTTGTATCAGTGAGGAATTTGATGTCTCTGTCTGTCTGACCCAGTCTGTGTCCTGGGTGGCAGGAGTAGGTCACCTTCTGGGTGGCGGTGGTACTATGCAATCTCAGAAAACGCATCTGGACCACGTTAGCACCTGGATAGTAAAACTGATAGGAAAGGAATAAGAACGTGATGTATTTACAATGTCAGCTGGTACATAGTTACGCAACAACAATAACATTATTTAAGTCATTAAGTCATGAATCAAATCATCAGTGGTGTGACAGATAACCAGTGTTAGGGTAGTTACTCAAAAAACGTAATGGATACACATTACTAGTTACGTTTGTTTTTTTAAGTAATGCCTTACTTTACTAGATTACTCACTGCTGAAAGTAACTAGCTACACTACTAGTTACATTATTTTTGGATTACTCAGATTAGTCAGTAATTGTTCCCTCTGGTTGGATGAAGTCTGACGCTCTGCATGATCCATGATGATAGAGATTAATGTCAATAAAGCATACTGTCAATATTTTAGAGACCCCCTAAAATATCACAAATCATGCTTTTAGGTGAGCTGTTGTCTTATTAAGTGCAGCTAAGCTCCCCCTGGCTCCCCTGTAGTTCACACCCTGGGCAAGAGTCTCAAATTGTTTGTCAGACAATCTGTTCCTCCTCTGAGTCAGCACAAGACTGCCCAGGCTATAGAGCCTCACCACAGGTGCACCAGAGGGTATCGCTGTCCTTTCACGAAACAATATGAAGCAATACCTCCACCCCACGAAAGACGTCTTTGGCAGCTCTGCCATTTCTGTGTCCTCATGAACTGGCGCTGAACTCAAAAGTTGGGTCCGAAAAGTATTACGCAAACACGCATGAAAAGGGACGTTTGATTTATTTTTCTCTCCTCCCCTTATGGGGATAGTTCAACAACCAGTTTGCAAGTAACACGATGATTTTGTTATTAGTAACTGTAATGTGATTACTGAAAGTTAAACAGTAATGCGTTACATTACTGCGTTACAGAGAAAAGTAATCTGATTACAGTAATGCATTACTTTGTAACGCGTTAACCCCAACACTGCATATAACAATATTAGAAAAATAACTGTATCTTCCTTCTTCTCTGAAGTATCTCCGGTTTTGTTTGTAAGTTGTAATGTGATTTGCTTGCTATTTAGCCTGTTTTACCTCATTGTTTTGGCTTTACGGCACATTTACAGTCTTGATGTTAGTGATGAGATATTAGAATTGGTGTTTTTCATACTTGTGGATTTCTGCTGCCCCCAGGGGCGTTTCCAGGCTCTTAAAACATTGGGGGCTTAGCCCAGCCCAGAAATCTTTCATGTTTTCACATTTTTATATACAGTCTATGGTTTTCACTTGTTTTCATCCCCACCCCCTGTTGCCGCCCAAAGTACGTCTGTAAAGCAACAGTAAATGACCTCTACACAGTAACCCAAACATCTGTCCCATTTTCTGATAATAATAATAATAATCAACTAGAGGGGGTCTGGGGGGTCCTCCCCCTGAAACATTTGGGCTTTAAACACTTAATTTCCTGCATTCCATGAATTTTTTGCAACAATTTATTGAGGAAATGTCTGAGGTGACAAATCAAAATAAAATAATTTAGTGTACTATAATGCAGTAGAGTGATCATACATGCAGGCAAGCTATTTTTCAGTGGCCACGGCTCTCCTTTATTCCTTCAAGTGCCTGCTCTATGCAGGGTAGGCTATGCAGCTGACGATGAAGCTACTGCAGCTCCAGTGCCAAACAAATCAGTTATTTTCACGTATTTGGTGATTTGTTTGGCCCACAAGAAACAGCTCGAGCAAAGGGGGAGGGAGTGGGCCGATCGTTGGCCCATTTTTTAAAATCAGTTAGTCCTACATACTGTATATGCCAGATTATCAGTCCACCCCTGAGGCTACCCCCCTTTAGACTGTCTGACAGACACAGAGCCCGTCTGGGACTGTAGCCTATGAGACGAGTGCACTGATCTTCATCAGAGGAAGAAAAACGAAACTGAAAACACTTGTGATCAGACAGAAATATCAGCATAATTCTACACAAATGTTCACTTCAGCAACTCTGATAAAGTGCAGCTCACAGCCGTTTTAGAGGGAATGAAGCATCCTGGAGACAGTAAAACAGTAGTGTCTCACAGCGAGTGGGACAGAGACAGCAGGACACAGAGCGACAGGTGTCAGTGTCGCGGTCAGGTGTGATATTCTCTCATTACTGTGCGCCGACTGTTAACTGTTTGCGTTGAATGAATGGTTTTTTTTCGGTTTACAAAATACAGAAAAAACTAACAATTTGTGTGAATATGCAATTTACAAGAATCTTATATGTGCTTACACCAATCCATTCACACAAAATTACTTGCAACATTGAAGCCCAAGGCTTATATTTGCCTGTGTGTTAACACATTGAACAGACACTGACCGACAACATTTATGTTTGATTACAATTTTGCAATTCAGAAGTCGCGGACAAGCACTGAAGCTGAAGCTGTGAGCAATGCGCGCTCTCTCTCTCTCTCGTGCTCTCTCTAAATGCAGTTTCAGTAACGGTGGTGGAGTGGTCACATCAAACAAAATGTATCAATTATTGCGAGTAGCCTCCGCTCTTTGAAGACCTTAGAGAGAGGCTGCGTCATGAAGAGTATTGCATATTAGCATGGAAATATTTTGTTGCTGTTGTTGGGGGGGGCTACAGTCAAAACATCAAAATTGGCTGCCCCCAAGTGTCCAATAACATCAAGGAATGCAGTTTAAATGCATCTGCGAATATGCGATTTGAAATAACATCCAAATTAGGGGAAATGTTTTCTTTTGGTTGTTTCCCTCAGACGGATTCACTCACCTGAAACCCCTGTTCCAACCTGCTGAGCCACTGAAAAGATCCTTCTTCAGAAAAGCCTTCCATCCAGGCTTTCATGGGCAGCTGCAGGCACAGAAAAGAAGGCACACATTTGCACATCTGGATGCAAGTCTTGCTTTCATGTATGAGACCTGTGAAGGTCAATGATGTTCAGACAGCTGCTGATAAACTCTGGATTAGCATGCAGCTCAAGCATGAAGCAGAAGTAAATTGGCTACTTTAGTGATAGATGCATCCATCTCACGCTACCTGAGACCAATTCATTTTATTCTTTGGTTGAGTGAATCAATTCTTTATGTACTATTGACTCTATTAGAGTGATTATGATGATTATGATTATGATTAACAAATTATGATTTTGGCCATGGTTTGGAGGCTCTGCACGGCCGCAGCTGGATATACTTGTATACTTCGGTGATTTAGGCTAGAGGCTGAGATAGATGTTGTGTAGATGTTTTGGGCGCGGTATATTTATGGCAATTTTGTAGAGTCCTGAAAACTTGTGTTTGTGCGTGTGTATGGCAGACAGTGAATCTCAGCATAGATTTAATAACTGATCCTGTAGGAATGATGTCCAAACTACCGAAATAAGATTTTCCTTCAAGAGGACTGTGTCACAAGTTCAAGTCATCACTGCAGAAGCGTGTGCTGACTGACAATTTATCAAATTGAGATTGCGGTCGTGCAACACGACGACATGAAATTAGGTGCAATTTCCCGGCAGCTTTTCCCGGGTGATGTCTTTATACCTGAGAGTCTCGAGGATGAATGCAGGTCTGTTTTGATGCGGAGGAGAAGCTGCAATAGGCCAGCAGAGTGTCGGCTGGGCTCCCCTGGTTGGGGTCGATGTAATACATTCCTGCAGGGGAAGGTTACCAAGAGGTCAATGAGATCTGCAGGGATGAAAGTGTTGTGCCCCACACTGACAGAAAGACCTGAGAAAAACCTGAATCACAACTACTCCTACATAGACTATTGGCTAAATGTTAAAGCGTAAAGAATTGCAGTAGACATTTTTCTTTTCTGTTTCTAGTAAATGTATTATTAGTCCTGCTTTAACTAGCAACTGCTGGTGCACCGGTGGGCACAGAGAATATGGACCCTTCACTTATATGATATTCAATAAGAATTTAAAGTGTTAGGAGTCAATTATGCATTATGTATCTATATATAGGCACACCATAAAATCTGTATTGAGGTAAATTACTTGTTTTTGGGTGTTACCATTTTAATTTTACCTTATAACAAAAAGCATTTCTCCATGTGAGCTGTTCTGATCTCTGACGTAATAAATGAATCTGGCAACTTTTGGAATTTTAGCTTTCAAAAACACACATGTAACAGAAAGGACAGTATCTAGAACTTCAGCTATTTCAGTGTGTATTTACTGTCATGACACTGTTTCGGGAACTGACCGCTGCTGTACTCAGGGTGACAGAGCCAGAGCTCCAGACAGGTGTGGCAGGATGCTCCTTACTGCCATCAGGAGGATCCACCAGCAGCCGAAGCTCGTGCTGCAGAGAATCTAGCAGAGTCTGGATCAGAGGGTAGTTGGGCTTATCGGACACATACATCAGGTCCTGCACAGGGGAATAGAGCAACAAAATTGAGGGAGAATGCACTTTGAGTGTATGTTGACTTGTACTTTCAGATGCTCTTATGATAAATGCTTTTGTAATTGTAAATAGGGTTGCCCCCTTCAATACAGAAAAATGAAGGACGCCTGCCGCAGTGGGGGCCACACCCCTCGGGGGCCCGGCAACGACAGGCCCGATGGTGTGCCAGTGGTGGCATATCATAACTTAAAACATGTTTTCAGGAAAGTATTAAGATTGATACCAGTGGACTTTGTAATAAGCTATTTGCTATTGAAATCAGTGTGAACAGATAAACGCTGTCTCTCTACATCACAACTCAACAGACTAGTGGTCTTATTGTCATAGCTGAATACACAGCTACCACAATAATAAACATAGGCCAACAATGTGTGACAGTGAGACCAGAAAATATAGGCTTTTGGAGGAACTTGTGAGATATGAACTGTGTTTCATTAATTTATTAAATCAATGTCATGTCCATAACTTATGAACTATAAATAGGCTAAAACAAATGACTTGATATGAATTGGAAAGACTTTTGCAAAGGATTTTCCATAATCATGAACGGCAGTGGACCAGAAGTAGTAGTCTTCTTTTGATTGTCAGTAAATATTTGTATTTATTTTATTTTAAATCTATAGTATTGAAGAATGCAATTCTATAGATTGGTTATGAAACAATTGTTTATATTCTTCACATTGGCACTATATTTTGATAATTAAATGTGTATTAAATAACCTTTATCGCTTATTAAATTAATGCTTATGTGTCTGACTGTATATCTCAACCTTAAAAAACAAATCATACCATAATGTAGGCATGTGCTTAATTTAGATTGTAACAGTATTTCTTAACAGATAGGCAGCACATGAAATCCAGCGTAATCAATCAGAAAATTTGTAAATTTTATTAAGTCATTACACTGCCTCGGCATGCTGTCACACGTCTGACAGGCCACTGTGCACCACACGAAACACTGGCCGACAAATTGTGAAGTTTGGCTTGATACTCATCAAGTAGGCTATTTGATTTCTCCCACTTGTCGTTGGTAGACTACTTTTGCATCCGCTTTTGTTTCAGAGGGGACGCGGGCGTTTCTGGAGCTGCTGCTGCCGTTGTTTCAACTCGACTCCCTGCCAAGAGACCCATCCTTATCTGACTCTGATTGGCCCTGAACCCGACGGTATTAATCATACCAACAATGGCAGCGAGTATTACCCAGTACGGGGTAGAAAAGGACTAGTCTTCACAGAATGCGGGTGGGATGATTTGCATGTGATGCTGCATTAAAGACAACTCGGAAATACGGGACAATTCTGTATTTTAAGGGACGGGTGGCAACCCTAATTGTAACTCATGAGTCACATGCCTTGAGTTGAGTCAACGTCATGTTCAGTGACTGTCCTGAGGGTCCTGGAACCCCAGGTGGGCCCTAAAACACAAGGGAGATTGTGGTAACAAATTTTACAAAATTACACAAATTGGGTAACACTGCAGAAAGATCAATATTATCTAGATTTTGAAAAACCTTTGTAATTCATCACAAAGTGATGTAAGAAGTCTTAATATACAAACTATACACTAACAAATATAAAAATCTTAGATTGATGGAACTACTGAGTGATGAGTCACTGAAATAAAAAGTTTATTTCTTAAGCTGTTTCACATTTTGACAATTTTCTAAAATCAATAATGTGGTGTTCAACAAGAAATTAGATTAAAACAATAACTCAAGAGAGCCAAAGAACTCTATAATTTGGAATAACTTCCTCTGAATGCTAAGCTAATGTTAGCTAAAAGCTAGTCAAGTTATAAACTAAGTAAACTGTCAGACACACAGAGTATGCACACTAGGCTAATCTCATATTTAGCTTAACTTATTTCTAGGCACTGTTAATGTAGCCATCTTTGTATAAATATATCCATTTTGGATGTACAGTACCTAGTGTATCTTAACTGCTTTATAATAATATGAAGCACATTAACCAATCAAACCTTAATTCAGAGTTTGTTTCATCCTCTGTTGTCTAACTATATTGTGAACTTACTGGGAGCCCCCTCCTGCCGGGCAGACCAGGTAACCTTGGTAGCCTTTCAAACCCTGCAGCGAGAAGAAAATGGGATAAATAAAGACTGCTGCAAAGTCCCATTACATTCTAACGCCAACTCCAAAGTGTGACAGCTTTATGATTATATGTGCCATCAACATAAACCAGAGTGATCTCACATAA